TCACCAGAACATTTGCAGGCTCCAAAGCGACTCTCACCAAAATGGAAAAATGTTGGTGAAGTGGTCACGTTTCCTGCCCAGTGTTTTCTAACTTGGTTAGTTTTACATCTTCCTTTCATCTCTAAATCCTCCTCCCAAATGTCCCAGGGCGTCTGTGTCTTCTCTGGGTCAACAATTTAAATCATCCACAATCTGGCTCCTCTCAGAGTAGTGCACATCTGTCTACTACACTGTGCACTTGCTGGAAACAAATCAAGGGCAACAGAAGAAAACGTGCTGTCTTCAGACTTCCAGTGTCAGCGGGTAGCCCTGCAGTGCTACAACTTTCCAAGCTGACACCCACAGTTACCTCCAGTAACACTGAAGGGCGCACTGGTGCCCAATGGGATGGCCCTGCTAGGGCGCGAGCTGACTCTAAACATTACGTGGTTTCCTAATGAGCAATAACATGCCGGGATTCCTGGGCTGAGATTAACCACAGAAAGACAACATGGGAAATGTGGTAAGGGCATCCTCATGAAACCAGAGCTCTGGGGAGCACAGCATTGAACACTGCCATTTACAAGCCTTTGGGGAAGATCTGGATCATTCTAAAGCCCAAGTTAATAAAAGTCCCTGTGTTGTAACTCGGGACTACAAAGAAAATGACAAGAACTACAACCAAGGCGAAAACAGCAGCAAAGTTTGCCTCTCAGGGCTTCCCTAGAATTCGAAACAACCCAGGTTAATATTCCATGAAGGATGAATTAACGGTGAGCCCCTCCCTTGTAGTGAGAGCTCTGCCTGGGAATTGCTGACAAAGGAAAAATGGCATCACCTCAATGCTGTGACAGAGGAAGGCCAGAGAGGCAAAGAGCAAAGGAAAAGAGGAGGTCAAACACAGCAGCAGCCTGCTCCTCGGGCGAGCAAAGAACGTGAACGTTTGTTTCTTGGTGTATTTCTTTTTTCTGATGCACCTCAATCGATTTCTCTAATTCTAGGTATCTGAAATATTTTCTTCTAATTTGTATGTATTTACTTGAGAGTAAGAAGGAGAGAGACAGCAAGCTAGAGAGCAAGAGAACACTCATGCACTCCCACTTGCTGGTTCATTCCCCAAAGACCACAAGGGCCAGGGCTGACGCAGGTTGAAGCTTGGAGCTGGGAACTCAGTCCAGGTCTCTCATGAGGTGGCAGGAAGCCAATCACTTAAGCATCACCACTGCCCCCCAGGGTCTGCATTAGCAAAAAGCTGGACTCTGATGTGGGATGCAGGCCTATTAACCACTAGGCAAAGTAAGCTGAAATACATTCTTAAAGCTAAAATATTTTTATCAAGAAAAATGAAATAAGAAAGAACTTATTAACAAAGAACTTTCCCCCAAAGCTTTGCAAATATACAAAAATTGTAGTTTCACAGAGAAGCCATCTAATTCCTGGTTCTTCTATTGATTTTAGTCTGTAATAATTTCTAACATTTACAAAACGCTAAGGATTTTTTAAAAGATTTATTTATTTATTTGAAAGAGTTATACAGAGAGAGGAAGAGACACACACAGAGAGAGAGAGAGATCTTCCATCTGCTGGTTCATTCCCCAAATGACCCCAACAGCCAGGGCTGGGCCAGGCTAAGCCAGAAGTCAGGAGCTTCTCCCAGATCTCCCACATGGGTGCTGGGGTACAAGCATTTGGGCCATCTTCTGCTGCTTTCCTAGGTGCATTAGTAGGGAACTGGATTGGAAGTGGAGCAGCTGGGTCTTGAACCAGTGCCCACATGGCATGCCAGCGATGCAGGCAGAGGCTTTACCCACTACACCACAACACCAGCCCCTGTGCTAAACATTTTAAATACAGTCTCAATCAATCCTCAGGACAGCTCTGAGACAGGCAGAGGATTTCTACAGCAACCCCAAGTTGCAAGATCACAAAGCTGGCCCATAGCAGAGCAAAATTAAACCCTGTGTACCATACTTAGCTTGATTTTCTCACTTAACCTTACACTTGGCATATCAGAAGAGGTACTTTCTGTTCAACAGAACTCAAGTTCCCCTACCTTACATCACATGCCCTTGATATTTTAAAGGTGATTTTTGGAATTAATCACCAAAATGGCTTCGCAAACTACAACTGTTTGTACCACACTAGCCTCGCTGTAAGTCACAGGTCAGATGAAGAAAGGTCAGGAGAGCCAGTGCTTAAAAGGAAGGCTTGGCTTAATCTGCTAAAATCATGCAGAGAGAACCAACTCAAAGCACTGCTGACACAGAAAACCAGACTGAGAACAAGCTGCAATTGATCAAAGCAGAACAAGTTAGAATTTATATCAAAGGGAATGTCTTTTGATTTTTAGGGCAACTAGCTCACCCTGGTGGCCAGAAAACTCCACTACGCAACCACCTATCCCTTCCCACATGGCCTCATTCAAATACTGGGCAAAACTTAGGAAAACTGATCCAGAGCCATTGCTATCCTTGATGATTCAAGTTTGAGCAAACTTTCTGAGCAGATCTGCATGGCATATACAGTTAACCATCTAAAGTTTTTAGCAATCCTGGTCTGGAAATGTGTCTATATGCAGTCAAAGGGAGTTTCTTAAACCAAATACAAAGCCCAAGATTTATTTAAAACAATAACAAGGTATCAGCAGTCATTACAAATGAGTTTCTATTATGCAAAGATGGCAGCAGCAATTTTTGAGTCCAGACGAAATCACCTAAACTCTAACAAAACTTAACCACAAAAACATTCACTACAATATTTACTTATTCTATTATAAATATCTGCAGAGTATCTATTATATATGAACAGGCTCTTCACCAGACACTGGGATGGAATGCAGCAGAGATCCTGTGGCTACTTCACACTGAGTAATAGTACAACAGTAGAAAACTGTAAACAACCCAAATGTCCAGCAGTAGTAAATAGCCCAATGTCTACCCATCCTGATACAAATATACAACGGGATTCTAGGCAGCCGTTAAAACCAGTTTCAGGTAGATCTGCAAGTGCAGACACATAAGCTTGGCCACATACACTACAAACTGCAAAAAGCAAGAAAAGGACAGAGAGGATATGCTGGTGCTATGGTACAGCAGGTTAAACCACTGCCTGCAATGTTAGCATCCCACATGAGTGTCATTCTGAGTCTTCACTGCTCTGCTTTTGACCCAGTTGCCTGCTAATCTGCCTGAGAAAGCAGCAGAAGATGGCCCAAGTGCTTGGGCCCCTGCACCCACGTGGGAGACCCATTAGAGCTCCAGGCTAAACCAGCCTCGGGGGCCTTGAGGCCATCTGAAGAATGAGCCTGCAGATGAAGATCTCTATCTCAATCTCTCTCTCAGTATCTGTTTCAATCTCTCCCCTCTGGCCACACTTCAAAAAATAAATAAATCTTGGGTGGCGGCGCAGCTCACTAGGCTAATCCTCCGCCTGCAGTGCCAGTACCCTGGGTTCTAGTCCTGCTTGGGGCGCCGGATTCTGTCCCAGTTGCTCCTCTTCCTGTTCAGCTCTCTGCTCTGGCCCGGGAGTGCAGTGGAAGATGGCCCAGGTCCTTGGGCCCTGCACCCCATGGGAGACCAGGAGAAGCACCTGGCTCCTGGCTTCGGATCAGCACAGTGCGCCGGCCGCAGCATGCCAGCTGCAGCAGCCACTGAGGGGTGAACCAATGGAAAAAGGAAGACCTTTCTCTCTGTCTCTCTATCTCACTGTCCACTCTGCCTGTCAAAATGAATAAATAAATCTTAAAAAAAAGAAGAAGAAGAAGGAGAACAGAGAGGTGAGTCTGTGTGTATAAATTTGTTTATACTTTTTTTAAAAAAAGATTTGTTTTATTTATTTGAAAGTCAGAGTTACACAAAAGAGAAGGAGAGGCAGAGAGAGAGAGAGAGATAGGTCTTCCATCCACTGGTTCACTACCCAAATGGCCGCAACGAACGGAGCTGGACCAATCCGAAGCCAGGAGCCATGAGCTTCTTCCTGGTCTCCCACATGGGTGCAGGAGCCCAAGGACTTGGGCCATCTTCCACTGCTTCCCCAGGTCATAGCAGAGAGCTGGATTGGCAGTAGAGCAGCTGGGACACGAACCAGCACCCATACGGAATGCCGGCACTGTAGGTGGCAGCTTTATCCGCTATGCCACAGCGCCGGCCCCTCTTTATACTTAAATGTGGGGATATGTATTCTTAAATACCCCACTGTTAACAGTGGTCACTTTTAGAAGAGGAATGAGAAGTGTCAATATTCCATTTAACAGACATCAGAATGTATGGGTATGTGTGTATTTCATTTGTACATAAAATTTAATTTTTAATGTACAAATAAAAACCAAGTATCAGTATGATGGAAAATTTGGACTTCTATTCTTGATCTACCTGAAACTGTCATTCATTCTAACATACAGACTTAATATACCAGCCTCACACGTGGAGAAGATGGTAATGACACGCCCATCTAGGAAAGGACCCTTGGGTTAATACTCAGCTTCGTGCTACACACAGCACAGCCACCACAGATGGGGCAGCTCAGGAAGCTCTGCAGCTGGGCACTCACAGCTACCAGCTGCCTGTAAGGTCCACATGTGAGCAAAGGCCTCACATCAAACCACCTGCAGGGAAGCTGGGGAGGACACACCCAGGCCATTTAGTAGGGAAAGGGAATGAGAACCGGGTGTCCTCCCACCAGCTGACCTGATCACAGTGCTGCCCAGACTTCTCAAATTATTCAAAGACTACAAATGTCCTGGCTGTTAAAATAACTTAAAAAAGAAAAGAATAAAAAATTTTAAAAAGACGCCAATGAGTCTCAAAAAAATGGACTTTCAAGATTTTTCCAATACAAGTCTAAATAGTTGAGTGGCATTTTTCAGTCAGGGTAGATTTCATTTCCAAAATTTGCAATCCAAAATCATATTTTGCTCATTACAACGTAATTATAATTATATGCTTCATAATAAGGAAGGTGGTAAATGTGGCATACCATAGGATTTTAAAATTAAACAAATGAGCTTACTTTTGACTTCTTACCTGATGCAGCATGCATTTCCTGCTCCTGGCTCTTTCCCAAAGAGGCCATCAATCTGGAATATGCTTCAGTCCACCAAGGATTATACTTCAAAATCCGTTCAATCTCTTCATCTTCAAAATAGTCAGCTCTGGGAAAACATGATGGACAGGCTTGTCACATAGGGTTAGGATTGCCTTCATTTTCTAAGATCTCCCAATTCACTGCATTTGCACTGGAAATGTGAATGGCTAATTCAAAATACATTTCCAGCACCTTCTTTCTTTCTTTTTGTCAATAATTACATAAAACAAAAAGCCAGAGTCTAACTAAAGGGACATCTGACACTTCTGATCTCTTCAAAGAGAAGACAGATAAGTCCTACCCTGAAAGCCCACCGTGGACTCTCGGGCATGGAAGAAAGTCAATCTTAACACACACTCGTGCTAGTTTTGTGCACACCACAGATTTTGGTAAGGTTACAAGAAAGGAAAGACATTTTCAACTCCACCAGCAAATAAACACAAATAGACAAGCAGGAAATTCACAAAGAGGTGCAAAGAGGCTACACACACAGACACACATCATTCTGTGGCATGCACACTAGAATTTTCTACCGTAACGCAATCTATTATATTTATTCGAATCTTAACAGCTCCTTGAGTTTATACTATTAAAAAAGGTAAGTGCAACCTTTGCAAAGAACGGAGCGCTATTTTCCCCTGCACTCTACATTTTCAGTTTTAACTAGAAAAGTAACAGCTACATTCAAAATATTCTTCTTATTCTGGGAGAACACTTTAGTGCCAATAGGGCCCACCCCCACTGTAGCAGGCATCCGGGGAGTGAACCAGAAGATCTCTCTGCTTCTCAAATAAATGCTTCTTTAAAAAAAAAAAAAAAAAGAGTAAAGAAAAGAAAGGAAGAAAGAAAGAGATTATGCTACCTTGCACTCATAGTTGGAGATTGGTATTCACAGGGAAAGCATGACAAAGTACACCCGCAGAAATTTTTATTATATTTCAGTTAATTAGAAACTCTAGGAACTGGCTACTTGGAGAAACTGAATTTTGTAGCTGACAATTTTATGATCTTAAATACTTTTCTTCTTTCAAGTGAGATATGAAATCTTTCAAAAACGAGAAAGATCACAGATAACTCACTGTGCTCCGTGTGCTCCAGGCACTGCACTCAGCGCTTTGCGTGCATGACTCCCTGGAGCCCTCATCACCAGAGGCAGCGCAGGACTGCTAACACCTTCATTTTACAAGGGTGGAAACTAAGGCTGGAAAAAGCTGTGTTACTTTAGCTGAGCTCAGGGAACCAGTAAGAAGTGTTAACCAGGAGGTGGAGCCACTTAAGGCATACTCCAGTGTGGGGAGCAACTTGGACTAGACTAAGTTACTCGAATTAAGACTTATTCTATGCATCTGCTCTCCCACAATATGGCGCTGAGAAGGGAGTAAACAGCTTCTACACAGCTGCCTCCAGTTCAACCAACAAGCTGCAGGACCTGCTCCTGATTGGAGGAGAGCAGTGTACTCGCGTGTGGGTAGCAGAGTTGGGATTGGTGGAAGAGGACTATAAAGGAGGAGAGAGACAACATGCACCAGGAACATCTAAGAGGAACACCTGTGCAGCCCCCGAGAGAGCCGGCCGGCGGTGTGCCGCTCCCCCGTGGAAGTGGGGAATGTGGCAGGGGGAACCGCCCTTCCATGGAGGTGGAAGGGACGGTAGCCAACCAGGGAAGAACCAGCAGCAAACCCGGGGAGGGCCGAGCAGACAAAAGAACAGCGCAGGGTCCTGTGTCGTTCCTCCGCGAAGAGGGGGAGTGACACTCCAGAATCCAAGCTCTTAGCTAACGTAAGAAACACTCCATTTTTATGCATGAGGAAATAAAAATACAAATTGGACAGAATTGAACAGCTAATATCCTGAAATGAGAGTTCTCAATATCAATTTTTGTCAGGTGCACAAGGTGTATGAGACCAGAATAAAGAAGTTGCTTTATAAATGAATCCTAAATCTATTTCCTAATTAGCTATCTCTTCCTCCTAAGTACAGGAAAACTCTTTCGAATGGAAGTTCCGGCCAGCACCGCAGCTCAATAGGTTAATCCTCCACCTGTGGCACCGGCACACCGGGTTCTAGTCCTGGTTGGGGCGCCGGATTCTGTCCCGGTTGCCCCTCTTCCAGGCCAGCTCTCTGCTCTGGCCCAGGAATGCAGTGGAGGATGGCCCAAATCCTTGGGCCCTGCATCTGCATGGGAGACCAGGAGAAGCACCTGGCTCCTGGCTTCAGATCAGCGCAGCGCGAACCAACGGAAAAAGGAAGACCTTTCTCTCTCTCTCTCTCTCTCTCACTGTCTACTCTGCCTGTCAAAAAAAAAAAAGAATGGAAGTTCTTCTTTAGACTCGTACACAAACTAGAAATGTAAGCTTTTCCTAGAAAATTAATTTCAAAAAGGATAAACAGTGTTAGTAGCACAAGGGGTCCGTGTTGTAGAGCAGTGGGTCAGGCCACCACTTATCATTCAAGTCCTGCCTTTAACTTCTGATCCAGTTTACCACTGGTTTCTCCTGGAGGCGGGGACAGCAGATAATAGCTCAAGTCCTTGTTCTCTGCCACCCACATGGGACACCTGAATGGAGCTCCTAGCTCCTGGCTTTGGCCTGGCTTAGCCCTGGCTGTTGTGGGCATTTGGAAGGTGAACTAGAGGATGGAGTAGATCTCTCTCTCTTTCTCCCTGCCTTTTAAATAAATGAATAAGTCTCTTAAAAAAAAAAAAAGTATCTAGCTAAACTGCTAACTACATAATTCATTCAACAAAATGTATGAAGTTTATGCCGTGTCCCAGGTTCCACACTGGGCACTGGGGTTCCACAGCTGACAAGACACGGTCCAGCCTCTGTGGGGCTTACAGTCCCTTGGGAGAGCAAAGCAATTATGATACAGCGTACAGCAATGACACAACAGCACCACAGTCTATGGTAAAATAAACCTGGGACCACAGGGGACGACCCTATAGGAAAGAATATCTATGCCAATTACTGAATGGTAATTAACAACTAGGCATATTAGGAGTGCTATGGAATGAAAAAGTAGCTGGCAAAGGCTAGGGAACAAACAGGCACAGTTAAAAAGCAAAAAAAAGGAGAGTTGAGAGAAACTAAAAATGAGATGCTGTAGTGACACAACCCCATAAGCCATGTTTAAAAATCTGAAGGAGCTTTATCTGAAAGAACTCCTGAACACCTAAAAGCTTTTACACAGAGGAGGGACCACAGTGTGTTTTGGAAACATCACTCGGCGCAGGCTGGAATGATTTAAAGGAACAAACCTAAAGGAGCAGAAATAACGATGACCTGGACAGGACAGGGGCAGTGGAACTTGGAGCAGAGTGGATGCGTATCAGCTACCTGCAGAAGCTAGAACCGCCAGGACACAGGGGTGGGGCCATCTTGACCCCAGGGTTCCAACCTCAGCGCCCTGTCCTCGGCGCCCTTCATTGAGACAGGGCCACGAGAGTGAGAGGTACATCACTTCCTTCTGGAAAGCTGGACTGCAAGATGCCCTCTAGGACACAGGAGCAGAGATCTGAGACGGAGTTAGTGAACACCCCAAGGCCTCTGTAACTCACAGCACTTACATTCTAGGGGAGGGAAGGAGCTGTTTCTAAGTGTCCCAAGCACTATTTGAAAAAGCAGAGTAAAGGTTCAGAGAGTGACTGGCATCCCACTGATCCCTATGTTTCAGCATGTACAAAAATCCAACTCCTCATTGTACCTGCAAAGTCTCCCTGAGTTTTCTATTTGGTTAGGGTCTCACTTCTCATCCTAGTCATCCAGGTTAGAAACCTAGGATTAGGGCCAGTGCTGTGGCACAGGAGGTTAAAGCCCTGGCCTGAATAGCAGGCATCCCATAAGGGTGCCGGTTCTAGTCCTGGCTGCACCTCTTCCGATCCAGCTCTCTGCTGTGGCCTGGGAAAGCAGTACAAGATGGCCCAAGTCCTTGCACCCCTGCACCTACGTAGGAGACCCGGAAGAAGCTCCTGGCTCCTGGCTTTGGATCGGCGCAGCTCCGGCCGTTGTGGCCATCTGGGGAGTGAACCAGAGGATGGAAGACCTCTCTCTCTGTTTCTACCTCTCTCTTTAACTCTTTCAAATAAATAAAAATAAATCTTTAAAAAAAAAAAAAAGAAACCTAGGATTATCCCGAACTGCCACACACTCGGTCAATCCTGAAGCTCTGTCATTCATCTCTGTAATTTTCCTTCACCCGCACTGTTTCTGGCTCTCATCTGTGGCTGGCTCACTGAAACACGCATGCAGCTATCTGACCTGCATCTCTTCCTCCAGTCTGGACCTTTTCAACTCCACCAACCACAAAGCAAATATTTCCTGTTACTACGCATTGCCTTGTGATCTGCTCAATAAATCCAAAGCCTGATTAATACTACCTTCCTTAACATATTCAGAATAATGAAAAATCATCACAATTTAAAATGGCATTCCAAATGGTACATGGTCATTTTTGTCCCTTCTCATACTTCATAGATGTTGATAATGTTGCCTAAACTCTTCTACTATTTTCTCCTGAGTAAAGAAATAGGTAAGAGATTATGAATTGGTTAAGGTAAAAAAAATGTATCAATAATTTAAAAGCAATTTGGGAAGAAAAAAAAACAACATTCTAACCAATAGAAATATGAAAATTTGGCTTTAATAAGCAAGAGAGGAAGGACTATTAAGGAATGCTTCAAGATGTCATCAACACATTTCAGTATAAAAATAATATCCAAAAGGAATTATATATAGCAAGAAATTATATGTGGCTGGGAATGGGCCAGTCCGAAGCCAGGAGCCAGGAGCTTCATCTGGGTTTCCCATGTGGGTGGCAGGGGCCCAAACATTATGGCCACCATCCACTGCTTTTCCCAGACAATTAGCAGGAAGCTGTATCAGAAGTGGAGAGGCCAGCACACAAACCAGCACCCATTTGGCATCCTGGCATCGCAGGTAGTGTATTTACCCGCTACGGCACAATGCTGGCCCCAGATACATAATCTTTTAAAGAAAAAAATCAATGTTTAACATAGCATCTATTATCTGCCCAGTGCTATGCTAGGCTGCAAAACATGCCAAAAACAACACAGATCACACCAGACCGACAAGCAGATTTTACAACACAGGATTTTAAAAATCATTACAATAATCCACCTACATGTGCCTTGAAACTGTTTAAAATTTTTTTACATTCAATTGACTGCTTAGCATGAAATTAAAATTGGTTTTTCTCAAGCCTATAAAAAACCTGACACAAGGAGAGTTCATGACCCATAAAAGGGCTACTGAAACAACTTAACAATAGGTAACATATTATACTAAAATAATATTTGCTACAGATCATATGTGTACATCATTACACTAATATAATGCGTATATTATTATCTATCTGCATGGTAGATAATGAGGAATTTAAACTGAGTATTCTCACCATTGTATTCATCAGTAACAAAAACAAAATAGTGCACTAAGCCAAAAAGAATTTTTAACTGAAAATCTGAAAGAACTTTATTTGTGCTTCATCTAATACCAGTACATTTATTTGGGTGAGTCAGTCACCTGATGTAAGTAGTAAGTAATACCAAAATTACAACTAGCCAGTCTTATGGCTGTCAGAGAAGTCACAAAGAACCTAGACCTCTGGATGCCTGCTCTCCTGTCTTAGCCCATGACTACATCCAAGCCACTCTTGTAAGAACTATTCTTTGAGAAACAGAAAGAACACTTAATGCATTCTATTACAGACCATAACAGTCTTGATAAAGAAATATGTAAGACAGAAAAAAGAAAGGCTACTTAGAGTATCACATTGCTAACCATAAATTTCAATTTCCTAATTCTGTCAGGCCATAGTTTATTCTTCCAGTTTTGGAAGAAAAGAGATGGTAGTTCTTCTAATTAAGCTCCCTCTCACTTGAAATTTTAGCCTTGTAAAGCTCATTCTGTTTTCACGCTAGCCCAAGAAATCTGCTGACAGTGAAATTCCCACTTGAAATCTTCAGCATGACTTTGGATGGCTTTCTCCAAATGACTCTTCAGTGGGGCTTTCATGCCACAATTGAAGACAAAGGTCATCAGAAGTGGCAATATAAATGGAGTCCAATCTCTCAGTTTCCCTCAGGATGCTGAACAGTTCAACCACTTATCATTACACATCACTCATCCCATTTGCACATCACAAGATATATTTCTGCCATTCCAATTAGTATCCGACTGTGTCACAGGAGATAGAATATTAATCACAACAGCCAGAGTAGCTAAACCGGAATCAGGAACATAAAAAGGGAATACAAAATGACAACTAGAGTCTCTTTTCAAGTCGTGGCCAAGCCACCTAGTGGTAGTGTGACAGTGGGCAAGTCTCTTAACCTTCTTTCCTCATTTGCTGTGAAAACTGAATTAAATAATCTCCTGAGAGCACATGATAAGCTAATAGCAATATACAAACATAAAGGAATATGACGATTATAATTGCATCATAACACTCTAGAAATTATTTACCCAGAATGCCAGGGCGTGGGGAGAATAGTAACTGAAATCTACATCAACACACAATACCCATTCTCCATACATTCAGAAAGAGAACCAAGAATCCAGGGACAGAGAAAGAGAGAAAAAAAGAAAAGCTGGATCCAGGGGCCAGTGTTGTGGCACAGCGAGTTAAGCCGCCACCTGTGATGTTGGCATCCCGTATTGAAGTGCTAATTTGAATCACAGCTGCTCCATTTTTGATCCAGCACCTCACTAATGTGTCTGGGAAAGCAGAAGATGGCTCAAGTGCTTGGGCCCCTGCCACCCATGTGGGAGGCCTGGATGGAGTTCCAGGTTCCTGGCTTGGGCCTGGCCTAGCCCCAGCCGTTGTAGCCACTTGGGTAGTGAGCCAGTGGATAAGATCCCCTCCTCCCTGAATCTCACTCATTCTCTGTAACTCTACCTTTCAAATAAATAAATAAATACTTTTTAAAATTCATTCAATCAATCAATTAATAAAAAGTATCCAGAGGCCAGGTGACAGTCCTTGGAAGAAGGATGGTTACCCTAGCCAGCCTTTCCTCAGGTGATCATTTACCTATCCAATACCTAGATAAGGTCCTTAGGCAAAGTTTATGACTAAAGTCGCGATTACTGAGGGTGAAAAATACTGTAAAACTTTAAATTTAGATAACAGAATAATTATCAGTCATCTGAAACAGATGGTTAATTATAGTGCTAGTGGAGAAAATTGTGAGGAACATAAGAATATCTTGGATCACCCAAAAAAATGCAGGACAGGTAGTAAATTCAAATTCTTAAAGAAATCAAAACTCATTTTCATTGATATATTTCTTTAGTCACAACAAAAATTATACTTAAAAGCAGTATAAATATTCTCATGAATTTAATATTCTATCTTAAGCCTTGCTAGAAAAAAAACTCAAAAAAGTACGCTAGAAGAATTCTGTGTTGCTTGAACAACTAAGGAGCACCATCTTACCAAGATTACCAAGGTACAACAGCTGGAGGGTAAGTCCAATGTTAATTAAGTTTTGAGTCAGCACTAAGTTCCAGGACCCAAAACATACATGCCTACTGGAGTTTAAATGAATACTCAAATTTTTAACAAATAAATGTCAAGTAACTTATTTAACACTCAAAAACTCAATACTCACAGATAATGATCTGGATCAAACTTGGCCAGCTCAGCAGCCAGGCGTTTCTGTCTTCGTTCAGCTGCAGGAGTAAAATCTGGATCCTTAATATCAATAACATCACTCAATTCATCCTAAGAACACCCAGAGAAGAAAGAATAATTGCTATCTCCTATTTTTAGCATTTAAAAATCAAGTTTTACACAAAAATATCAAAGCATGAAAAGAATCTAACTGATTAGTAGACTGACACCAACTGCAACATTGAGATTCAACTCCAGCAAACAGCTGCTGAGTACCTACTACATGCTAGGCCCTGTGGAATCTCATGGAAATCACCTCATTTGATACTTAATAGCAAATAAACTGATGAACACATATTAAGACTATAGAAGCTTAAGACAAAAAACAGGATGGAATAAAGCCCTTCCTGCAAGCTGTAACATTTTCCATCCACTTCTCCCTTTAGCCCCAAAGGAGCTGAAAGTTATTAATGGTATAGGAATTTGAGTATCAGACACCTTATACACAGACTTTTTTTTCTTCCTATAGTCTAGATCAATTGCCCTCAAAGAATTACTACGTAAAACCATATACACAAAACTACACATTCTACTTTATGAACAGATTTAAGAATTTTTACTGGGACTGGCATTGTGGTATTAGCGAGTCAAGCTGCAGCCTGTGACGCTGGCATCCCATATGGGCAACAGTTTGAGTCCTGGCTGCTCCACTTCCGATCTAGCTCCCTGCTGATGCACCTGGGAAAGCAGTGGAAGATAGCACAAGTGCTGGGGGCTCCTGAACCCACATGGAAGACCCAGATGAAGCACCTGGCTCCCAGCTCTGGCCATTTCAACCATCTGGAGAGTGAATCAGAGAATGGAAGATCTCTATCTCTCTCTCTCTGTATCTGTCTTCCAAATAAATCTTTGGGGGCGGGGCTATGGCATAGCAGGTAAAGCTGCTGCCTGAAGCACCAGCATCCCACATGGGTGCTAGTTTGAGTCCTGGCTGCTCTAATTCCAATCCAGCTTCCTGTTAATATGCCTGGGAAGGCAGAGGTAGATGGCCCAAGTATTTGGGCCCTCGCACCCACATGGGCCCTGGCCATTGCAGCCATCTAAAGAGTGAACCAGCAGATGGAAGATCTCTCTCTCTCTCTTTGCCTCTCCCTCTGTAACTCTGCCTTTCAAGTAAATAAATAAGTCTTAAATAATCTTTCTAAAAAACAAAATTTTTATGAGCAATTTTGATGTAGATGATGTTCTACTAGAAAATTAATTTACCATAATTGTCTTTTCTAAAAAATTATTAATGTATTTGAAAAGTAGAGTGACAGAGAGAGAAACAGATCTTCCATCCACTGGTTCAATCCCTAAATGGCTACAATGGCCCAAACTGGACCAGGCTGAAGCAAGGAGGAACTCTATGTAAGTTTTCCACAGCAGTGGCAGGGATTCAAGTACTTGAGTCATCATCTACTGCTTCCCAGGGGCATTAGCACAGAACTGGATTGGAAGTGGAGCAGCCAGACTCGACCTGGTACTCCATTATGGAATTCCAGTGTCTCAAGCACAGCTTAACCTAAGGCACCACAACGCCTGACAACTATCTTTACCTATACATACTGAAACATAGCGGGCCGGCGCCACGGCTCACTGGGCTAATCCTCCGCCTAGCGGCGCCGGCACACCAGGTTCTAGTCCCGGTTGGGGCGCCGGATTCTGTCCCGGTTACCCCTCTTCCTGGCCAGCTCTCTGCTGTGGCCAGGGAGTGCAGTGGAGGATGGCCCAGGTGCTTGGGCCCTGCACCCCATGGGAGACCAGGAAAAGCACCTGGCTCCTGGCTCCTGCCATCGGATCAGCACAGTGCGCCAGCCGCAGCGCACCGGCCGCGGTGGCCATTGGAGGGTGAACCAACGGCAAAAGGAAGACCTTTCTCTCTGTCTCTCTCTCTCACTGTCCACTCTGCCTGTCAAAAAAAAAAAAAAAAGAAAGAAAAGAAAGAAAAAAAAAAAAAGAAACATAGCTTGCTCTGGCCGGCGTCATGGCTCACTTGGCTAATCCTCCGCCTGCAGCGCCAGCACCCCGGGTTCTAGTACTGGTCGGGGCGCCGGATTCTGTCCCGGTTGCTCCTCTTCCAGTCCAGCTCTCTGCTGTGGCCGGGGAGAGCAGTGGAGAATAGCCCAAGTGCTTGGGCCCTGCACCCACATGGGAGACCAGGAGGAAGCACCTGGCTCCTGGCTTCGGACTGGCACAGCGCGCCAGCCTCAGGACACCTGCCATGGCAGCCATTTGGGGGGTGAACCAATGGAAAAAGGAAGACCTTTCTCTCTGTCTCTCTCTCACTGTCTAACTCTGCCTGTAAAAAAAAAAAAAAAGAAAAGAAAAGAAAAGAAAATATAGCTTGTTCCTTAAGCCAAATCTTACAAAAGAGATGTATAATAGGAAAACTGCCCAGGATACCATAGTCTTTATTCTTTTGGTCAGAACTGTGAAAACTTACACAATGCCAACATTTTAAAACTGGGCCTGCTTTTCCTTCTTCAATCTCCCTACTCCTACAACTATCCCCAAGTGAGAAGCACAGATATTGGATGAAGGTTAAAGAATACCAGGGAAATAACTCGGCAGAAAGTTGTGGAGGCAAACTGTTGAAGATAGATTTGTAAATGGTATTACAGGTAAGTGCCTATTAGGCAGGTTTACAAGTCAGTGACTGTAATACAAAACACAACCATGAAAGTGAACCGTGTTGAGACTAGGATACAGCCACCCCACTCAAGCAAAACTGCCATATAGTAAAAAAAAAAAAAAAAAAAAAAAAAATCTCACATTCTAACCACAACCCTTTTAGTTCAGGTAATATCAACAGTGTTTATTCTAAACAGCTTCTAATATAAGAGGGTCCAGAGATCCTTTTGGAAGTCACTGGAATATCCAGAACATTCTAACACTTCCAAAGCCAAAGTTTACCCTAAACTTATAAAAATTCCCATTCAAAAAATTCCTTTGTAATTTATTTTTTGGAGTTAGAATGTATTTCCCCATAGAAATGCTATGACAATGGGAGTTACAGAGTCTCAGGCCAGCCTTCAAGTTGGTACAATTCCTAATACACTAGAAAGAGAGCACCCATGACATGAAGGGCTTATCAAGCACTGCAGCAACGCTCCCACGGCAAAGACCTGCAGGTTTCTGGAGCTGAAGCCACCAGAACACATCTGTTCCCTAAGCAGTACAACCTATATTTTTCTTCAATTCCTCTACTCCTTTACCCACCTAAAGTTTCCCCACAGGGCTGGGAAAGGCACTGTAATGTATCTGCAGAAGTTACTTAAGCTAAGTGAATACTATGAGAGCCACGCCTGCTCATGGAACCCAAGCCTCCCTGCCCAGCAACCTGGACAGGCACACCTATCCTTTCTTTCCTCTTTCTAGCCCCAGGGAGCTCCCTGGCCTGCGTACTCACTTCTCAAAGTCCAAAGAGTGACTTCAGAGGTAGACAAATGTGAGCCCAGATCCCAGTGCACCTCCCAGAGCCTCGCTGCCTACTATAAATGAGTCCAGTGACACCTCTATCACAGTGCTACGTACTAGTGTCTGCTTGCTTCCTTTGCTGTAACAAATGACCACAAGCTCAGAGTCCTAACACACATTTACTGTCACCCCGTTCTGAAGGTCAGAAACCCACCATCAGTCTCACTGGGCTGAAGTAAGGTGCCAGTGGGGCTGCAGTTCTTCTTGGGGGTAGGGGTGCTCTGTTCCTTTGCCCTCTCCATCTTCAAGGATGCCTCAATCCTTGGCCTTTGGCCCCACATCACATCCCTGTTCCTCCCTTGGTTTCTACCACCACGTGGCCTTTTACTCTGACCAGATGCTTGCACTGTGATCTTCCTAAATCCCTCTTGCAAGCACCCATGGATTAGACTGGGCCCACCAGATAATTCTAGCCAGTCTCCCAAGACCCTGGGGCCAGCACTGTGGCTCAATGAGTTAAAGCCCCAACCTGCAGTACCCACATCCTATTATGGGCACCAGCTCGAGTTCCGGCTGCTCCTCTTCTGATCCAGCTCTCTGCTATGGCCTGGGAAAGCAGCAGAAGATGGCACAAGTCCTTGGGCCTCTGCACCTGCATGGGAGACCTGGAAGAAGCTCTGGCTCCTGGCTTCAGATCAGCTCAGCTCTAGTCATTGCAGTCATCTGGGGAGTGAACCAGCAGAATGGAAGACCTCTCTCTCTCTGGCTCTATCTCACTCTGTAATTCTTTCAAATAAATAAAATAATAATTAAAAAAAAAAAAAAAAAAGATCCTTCACTTCCCCACAGCAGTGAAGTACCTCTGGCCACATCAGGTAGCACAGTCACATATCTAAGCACAAGAGCATCTTCTGGGGGGGGGGGGGGGGGGAGGACAACCTCGTGTGCCACTGGCTGTGGGAAGGACTGAATGAGAGAACACCAATACATTCAGTAGTGTGGCTGCCCTTCTCCCGCAATGAGGCTCATCAACCGCTCCTCTGAGAGGACGCCTCCTTCCTGCGCCTCAGTCTCCTCACCTGCTAATCACAAAGTAGGGAAAGGTGGCAGAATTAAAATGTTCCCTTCGTTACTTCAGCTGGGCTGATGTCAGGTCATAGACAGGTACAATGGGTGAGTCTCTGCAGACAGCTGCATTTTAAGGGATAGACAACTGCTAGATGAAATCCTACCCGCCCAGAGAATGCACCTGCTCTGACCTCAGCTCTCAACACCTAGCCCACTGTGTTCCTCACACTCACATTGACTCCACTCTGCTCAAAACTGCCCAGCCTGCCTTCCATTTCTGGAACTTGCCCAGTCAGTCCTAATGCCAAGCCTCTGCCTTTGCAGCAGCCTTCTCATCACTTGGAACTCAAGGTGAAGTTCAAGGTGAAGACCAAAGCAGCCTTCTGAGGACAAGCATTTGGCCTAGTCGTTAAGGCACCAGTTGAGACGCTGCAACCCAGACTGGACTGGCTGGGTTCCACTCTCAGTGCCAGCTCCTGATTCCAGTTGATGCAGTCCCTGGGAGGTAAAGGTGTTGACTCAAGTGACTGGGTTCTTGCCACCCACATGAGACACCTGGATTGCGTTTCTAATTCCTGGCTTTG